AGCTGGTATCACCTCCGCCTTTTGATATGCTTCAAAGGGAAGTAAGGGTGTCCTGCAGGAGGACCCATCCAGCGGCGCTGACTTCATTTGCAGAACTGCAGCTGGGACTGAGTCGCAAGACTCGGTGCTGGGGGGTTGCGTGTTTCTTACTGCTGAGCAAGCCTGGCAGTTTCAGAAGCTTGGCCAGCTTTCAACCTCTTTAAAAAAGAGCAGGAAGAAGCCTCAGCAACAGCTCTCATCCCTGCTCTTGGTAGCTGCCTTTACACTGGGGCTCTTGCCCCCTTTCTTAGCCAGGATGCTGCCATGCCTTCAGCTCTGTTCCTCAGTGATCCCGTCCTGACTGCTGACTCCCAGCTTAGCTTCGTACCTGCCTCCTCATTATGAACTTGGCTGGTGAGCTGGTCTCTTGGTTGAACCTGGACACTGTTGCTGGACCCGCTCTGCTGCCCTTGTTTGGGCACTGTGGTGCTTTACCTCTTGTTGGTGAAGCTACTGCCTCTGCCTGTATCCCTGGCTCTTGGCTCAGCATCCCTTATGGAGCTGCCTGCTCCATCCTGCTGCTCCCTGACAGCAGCCTACTCAGCTCTGTCATATCTGAGGTGTTTCTTTGCATGACCAAATGTAGAACTTCTTTCAAGTTCATCAAAGCTAGTGTCTCTACAAAAGAGGCTACAATTGAGATGGGGGCTTCACAGTTGTAGCTTGAAATTACTACTTGACCTGTTTTGGGGAAGTTGTTTCCTTTCTTGATTCATGTCCTTTCTTGCAACATGGAATTCCTCTACCTAAATAAATGCTGACATAGATGCCTGCAGACAGGCATCTTTCATCTGAGGTTGCTACCTGGGAATTTATAATCAGTGTAGATAATAAGATATGATTTATGTTATCCCAAAGAAGATGTCTAAGACCGGGTGAAACAAGCTGTTAAGATGACTTTTTCTCTCCACTGATTATACGAGTGCCGTGCTATAAGGAGCAGATGTTTCAGGTGGAGACATCTTCACTGAAGAAACCTAAGGCTAAGTGAGCTGAATCGTATTGTAGATCTCATTACATAACCTGTATGGATGAAGGCAACATTCACAAGTAATTCGAGTATTTTATTTCCATGTACTTCAAAGAGAGAAGAAATTTTCAAAACTTGGAGACCAGGTCTATGTTTAGATTTCAAATTAAGATTTTTCCTAGAGAAAGGGGCCTGAACCAGGTCTGTTCTTCCCTGTTTCTGCCTTGCTCATGCGTCATCAAGCATTACGTACTTGGTGAGGACACTGCTATATATTTTCTAGATGATAACACATGGCAACAGAAGAGAGAGTCAGAGATGACTACAGGCCTTAGGATATTCTTGGCTGGTAGCTGAAGACCACAGCCAGCTGGTTACATTTACTAAGTTGCTCTAAATCTAGATAATCCTGCTGCCAGACCCAGCTTTTGTGACTATTCCATCCCTCCCGTTTTGCTTTCCTTGGAGGAAATGGGGAACAGCTGTTTGAACAGCACATGAAGCCCAAATGGCCAGAAATCTTCTGCTTCTGCTCCCAGCCTACAGGCATGAGGTAATGGCTGCTTCTGCACAAGTAGAAGATGGGAGAGGAAGCAGCTGATTCAGTCACACCTCTCTCCCCCAACCTGCAGCAGCAAAAGCAGCTCTGCAGCTTTCTGCAGGGTTAGGAATGAGTTGTGAGTGTTGGTGAAGACAGTATGGGCTAACGAGGTTAAATTTTGGCTGCCAAATATATATTTCAGTTCCTATCTGAGATCAAAGCACCCTGTATTTAACTGCACGAGACCTGAGACCAGCTGAGATTTACTATTACCTGCTAGCAACAGCGTTATAGCTCTTTGGGCTTCTTCCCAATATATTATGGCCTGTTTCCTTCCCTTCTCCTCCACTCACAGGGAACAGGCACTGGTCCAAATCTATGCTTTATAGCTGCTATTTCTAATGTCATATCATTTGTGTGAAGACATTGGATAGGACAATTTGCTTTATTTAGAGGATGAAAAAAAGAAAAGGCAAAAATCTTCAGTTCTCACAGAAAGAGTAAATTGGTCATAAACCACCTTCTGTGGTCTGTAAATACAGCACACAGTAAAATAATAACTGTAATAATATATACAATGCATTTCAATGCTGATTTTAATTAAATGGCTGAATGCTGGAGTCTTCTTTCCTCCAATTTTAGCGTAATACAATTTTAATGCATATACACAAGTTCTTTGATAGCATGCTTTGCTAATAGTAATATGTTATTATATTATCATCAAATAATTACTTGTGGCCCCATTAGATAGATTGGGTGACAATGATTTCTGCAGACCTTTTCTTCAGTTCCTAACTAGCTACTTGAGCTACACTATTAATTAATGGGTACCTTACACTCAGTGCATTTTTTTAAAGAAAGTTAAGCAAAGGCAGCCTAACTGTTTCTCAGAAGGCAGATAAGGAAAGAAATATGTTCTTTTGCCCATGTTTGGAGAAATCATGCCATTACCTCCTATAGAAATGTCTGTGCTGTAGATGCCTGCCTTCAAATTTGGCACAAGGTACAAAGATGGCAGGCATAATCAGTGCTGTACAGGCGGCTCCAAGGCATACTAGAATAGCATAGAGTTCCTTACGTACGAAGGGCAAGAGAGCTTTAAGGGGCTTGGAGGTAAGGATGTAATATAAGGGTATTTCCTACTGAGACTTTGCTTGTGAAACTCTTACAAAAGCCTTGTGGCTTGACCCACGAAAGCCATCTCTGTCACCTCATGCCCAGCACCACACCAGCAGAGGTAGACAGTGAAAGGCTCTGGAGCTGCTGACTGCCCTAGCCGCATTTCATCTCGCACATCTACTACTGCTGAGGAGATTGTTCACCCATCCTTTCCCTCAAGCACTGCTCCTGTTGCCAGGGGGCTGCCGTGCTGCGGTGTTTGAGAAGGTGGAGCAGAATCGGCATCTCTTCGGTGCTCACAGCAATTTCTCTGCTGGCAGCCAGATTGTCAGAAGGCAGCCTGCCTCAAGTGCGGAGATCTAAAGAGCTAAGGGAGAGTCCTAGGATTTTGGCTAAGAGATCCGGTGAACATGAGGGAAGAAGTATGAAGAACAAGAGCTGGGAACAGTGTGGAAAGAGGGGCAGAGAGAAATATGAAAAGTGCAATGAGGCTCAGCCATCACAGCGCTGTTCCCAGTTGTTCAGGAATTGGGGTTTGGGAGCCTTTGTGTCATGCTGTGGGCAGAGGAAGCATGTGCTCACCTGCAGGGGACAAAAAGTTCCAGTGCTCCTTTCTCCCTGTTCTGGAAAAGTGATGGAAACCTGTATGGTAGATCTAAAGGTCAAACCCTGATGATGATATGTGTATCCATATGTATACATTTCTGCAGGATGGCCTCTTTTTTTTTTTTTTTTTTTTTTTACCAAGGTGCTAAAGGAAAGGTAAAATTTGAAAACTATGCACCCAACAGAGTGGTACAAGCATATCTATCTGTGAAAGCAATATAATTTCTCTAACTGTGGGTAGAAGAACATTTTTTTTCTCTAGCTGCCTTCTTAGAAATATTTATAATGAAGATTTTCTCTGCAACCCTTATTGGTCACTTTGTAAACAGTTATGCTCATTGCATGAAGGAATATTCTTCCATAGCCTTTCTGAACCTTGTGGTATATAGAAGGCTGTTGATAAATTGATACAGAATGTCAAGCAAGTCACAGACTTCTACATTCTACGGAATTGAAAACAGGTCTGATCTCATAAGAATATCTAAAAATTTATTATTTTAATACTATTTTTGTAGCAATGTTCAGGTATGTGTTTTGAACACTGAGGGGAAAAAAAAAAAAAGCAGCAACCAAGATCTGTCATTACCCTCATTGGATTTTCACCTAAGGTACCAAAAATTTGCAGTGGTAGCTCAGTGCTGTGTTGTGACAAGAAAGGTTTGCTGTCAACATTTTCCTGCATGATTGATATTCATAAAATTACATTATGATGGCTGGGACAGCAGCTGCGTGTGTGTTATTGAACAGCACCACAGTCAAGACAAAGGTTAAAGGTGGTGCTGACCCCTCTGCATCCTGAGAAGGTGGCAGTCCCTGGGCAGATCTGGGAAAAGACCCTCCAGAGGAAAAGCAAAACTCTCTAGGCTGGACTCTGGGTCCACATGGCAACTGAATGAAGTTAACAGTGAAAAAATGGACCAGGCTTGCAGAAAAACAGGCAGTATGTGGGAAGAAAAAGGCAATGAAGCTACTTGGTCTTTACAGTTTTCTTCAATTTGGTATGGCATTTAAAGATTTTTATAAGAAATAAAAAAAAATCTTTCCTCTTTGAAATTGCAAATTTTCTGCAAAAATAGAACTGGTGAGAAATATGTACACTGACTTTGCCAAAAATATATTTTTTTCATGTCATGAACAAGTCTCAGCTACATTACAGCACAGTTAGGAAGTTTGATTACTGCTCCTATCTGTTGCACTGCTATTACTCAGGGAGGGCCAGTATTTCACAGGGGAAGGACATGGGCCTGTAAGAGGGCTCTGCCTGTGTACAGGGCATCAGAGCATCTCAGAGTTTGCCTCAGCTGGTCATTCCTACAGCACTGCATAGTATGTCCTGAGCACTATTGCCAGCACTGAGAAGCGAGGAGGAAGAGGAAGCACCTCACATGCTTGCACAGGGTGCAGCAGGAGACACAGCCGTGCCCTCTGACTTGTCCATTCTGGATCTGCACTGCCAAAGTCCGGGTCTCTAGAGCTCCTTCTGTTCCCGCTGAGTGCCCAACAGCAAGAAGCTTTTCCTTATCCTCCAAGGGAGCAAATCAACCCTATCATTGCTGCTCTCACAATCCTTGCATTTTGCACACTCCAAGCATTTTGAAGGTCTTTCCTTATGTCTCCTTGCACTTCAGCAGTTCAGTCACAGCAGCCAGCTATTGGTCAGCCCCAATATGTTTTATTATACCATTATAATAGTTATATTCTGAGACAGCGTCCAGAGTTTCTTACCTTGAGCCCCTTGACTGTAAAACAGTCTGTGAGCAGACTCGACATCCAGAAAGTAGTCCATTTTGAAGGATCTTTGTGTTTGCAAACAAAGCTCCTGTATCAGTGATGAATCAGATTCCTGGGAAAAATGATAAGAGATGTTAGAAAAAAAAATGATAAGTTTCTTTGTGGAAAGGATTGGATAGGCAGTCATCAAAATACTAAGTCTGAGATATTACAGTCAAAACATTCTCAAATCCCTATTCGTTGAACCTCATAAATACCCTTTTCTATTTTAGTTGGGTTATTTTCTTTGAAATCTGTGTCTACAGCCATAAAAGAAAAGTGATGTTATGCAATCTTGCATTAGCAAGTACCGGGTACACTCACTTTTATCCTAGTCACAGTCTCAGTCTCTGTTTCTCACACTACATATTTGAATCACCTGCCTGTTACATTTGATCTTAAAAATAACATCAAGAAATCTTGCAGCAAGGACCTTTCTGAGCCATTTTGGTGCCCCGGACAGCAACAAAAACAAATCCATGGGCAGGACCTCTGAGCAGGCAAAGCCAGCATTAATGCCCATTATGTCAAAACTGAACTAGAAATGAAGTCACAAGACTGCACTTTCTCTGGTGTTTCATTCCACCTAAAGAAAAAGGAAGGAGCCTTTTCTCCCCTCTCCCCGACCACAAGGTGCAGCAGATCTTGCTGCAGTCAGTTTTCAAAGAGGCAATAAGAGCAAGCATTAACTTGGCAGGACGCTGCAAGCACTGCTTCCTAGCTGAAGTTTGTGGTTTTGACTTTCTCCTGAGCCTCGCATGTGCCTCGCTTGTGATTTACATCTGGGGTGCACAAGGAACCAGGTTTGCCCCCGCCCCACAGAGTTCCCAGGTCATGTTATCGTGACCCTTCTCTGATGTTTTTCCATCCTGCATTTTTTTCTGCTCTCAGCAACTTACATAAAAATCCAGGATTTGCAGAAAACACACAACCCAGACCTCTCCTCCAGACCTCTCAGTTAGCTACAGCATATTGTTATAAGCACATAAGCAGCTATACACAACAGTTGTTTAAAGACAGGCAGACAGACATACCTCTAGTCCTTTTCCATGAGAACCTAACAGAAAGGTTCAGGCAGGAAGACCGACCCCTCTCTTCAAACAATTCCTTTAACAACTTTGGCTAAAATCAGGAAGTCAGAATTCCACAATTATTACTTTCTTCCATTCAGCTTTCATTGATTAACGTGCAGCTTTTTTCTAAAATTTAGAAACCGGTTCTGATGAGAAAACTTCCAAAATTCCTCAGCAAATCACTTCATTGTAGCACTCCCAAGCCCACAAATGATACTTACTGCAAAATACCAGGAGCTGCCTGGCAGTGATGTAAGCTCCAGTAGTTTCAAGGAGGGCTTCTTTGATCTCACTAAATGTCCCCAGTGTAAGCAAACAATTTTGATTGTTTGATTGGGACTCTGATGAATAATGCATAACGTCAACTGAACTTCCTTTATCAGATAAAAATGGCCAGGAGATGTTGTTACTTAGCAACAGGAGGTGACACTACGATCATCTCCCCCACGCCCCCTCACCCTCCGCACTGAAATATTAAGCCCCTGGTTTTGATTTGATAAAAACTTTCCAAGGGGGAAAAAAAATCTGCATCAAGTTTCCTTAAAGATTTGTGTTTCACTCTAGCCTTCCTTATTGCATCTTACATTCTCAGATATTTTTAAGTGTTCCATAATGATTAACCATAGCATTTTGTTTTGTCTAATAATTTGCTTTTGGTGACTAAAATCCCTTTCTTCATCAGTTACCACAAAAGTAATGAGGCTGTTAAATATTTTATCATGACTATAATGCAAATAAACTGTTCTTGAAGATATTCCGTTCTTTTTCTGGTACTGCTTTTTGGACAAGGCATACAGAAAAAGCAACACACAAAATGTTCCGGTGATTCTATATGAAATATGTAGATTATCCAGAAACCTTCCCTATTGCAGAATTTCTACTTTCAGCAAGTCATTCATTCTTGTTGGTGCTCTAACACCTGATACAAACATTTGTTAGGAATCATAGCGTTTCTATATGAGATACAGTTCTGTGCAAAATGCATGATGTAGCTTTCTGCAAGAGATATACATTGATCAAAAGCAAAAGCTATATGCAAAAGATTTAAAAATAAATAGAAAAAAAGCAGATGCAGGAGATAGGTACTTACCAGTGTTACTGACCTCTTTCCATCCTACCGTCATGGAATAAGACTAAGCAAATGCAACCCCAGCCTGTGAGGCAGAACGAGCAGCTTCTAATTTTCCCTTCAACCTCAAAATCAAGAGTACTGAACAGAGAAAGGTGACGGATCTGCTGTTTTATATTATGATGAAATGAAAGCTCTTAGCAGAGATCTGAGTAGTGCTGCTTTTTTTTATATATATTACATTAGCCTGCTAATTTGAGGAAAGTGAAGGGCTTTGTTTTACTGTCTTTTATCTGTTCTCTTTGCTACCCCCACAATTTAATTTGCATTTAAAATTATTCTTATGTCTCCACTGCACTCCAAGGTGTGGAGCATTTTCTAATCATGATGAATGTTCACTGTGGTTTTTGTGCAATGCCACTTTTATTCTGAGCCAGAAACATGGTGAGTAATTATAATTGCCAGTTATTTTCTAGAATGAAATACAGAGTGGCTGTCTGATGCAGTTTCTGAGTTTTTCCTCCATTTAGCAGCATATTGCAACAAACTATTCAGCCAAAGCATAAGTAAAAATATAAAGCAAATAGCACAGTGTCATGTCATCATAGCTTAAACATGACCCTGAAAGCAGAATGTGTCTTTCTAGCAATAATAACTTCTCTGAGTGTGAAAGTGGGCTCGGATAGACAATGAATCTGAAACGCAGCACAATTACTTTTTGTGGCTTCCAATTCACCCAGTTCAACATTACTGGAGTTTCACACTATTTTTTGGCAGCCTACCAAAGCCAGGTGCTAGAGGCTAGTGACGGCAATGCTATGAAGCTTCACAGGGCATCCCTCACATAACAGCCAGGAATTTGCTGCTTCCAGCAAATCTTTCAGAAACAGATCAGAGATTGAAGAGAGCAGTAATGAAGTGATCCACTCATAAATTTAATCTCAGAAATTCAGGGCAAGAACAGTGTCAGGGAGGACAATAACACTCAAGGTTCTACTTAAGAGGTCAGGTATAGATCCTCTGACATGCATTGCCACAAAACATAAGCAATAGTCAAAACTAGGTGTTCTGAAAAGCTAGACTTTTGTTATCAGATAACTTCTTTTAATGTGAGGTTTTGAAGCTTTTAAGAAGAAAGGCAAGAAGACACATAAATACTCAGAGAACAGGTTCTTTTGTGCAGGTCAGAGGGGAAAAATCTCTGTGAGCTCATTATTTCATGGATTTCTACTCCGAGATTTCTTACATGTTTCTTCAAAGCACCCAGGCAATATCAAAGACAAGGGTGAGCTACACGAGCTTCAGGTAGAATCTGGCCTGGCAGTTCCTACACGAGCATGTTGCTAAATATGGCTGGGTTGAGTAGGAGTGTCACAGTGCCACCTTGGATGGTGGGTCTGGTTTATGCAAACTGTTCCTGTTTTCAGAAGTGTGACAAACATTTTCATTTCTAAGCACAAATTAAAATAAAAACAAACAGCAAGAAGACCACAAGCCTTCCTCTTTGCATTTCTGAGACTTACTACTCCGTATTCCATGCAATGTGGAGAGTTTGTATTTGCCATGATGACTATGGAGCATACGTCCCTCCAACCTACTCTCTGATAATTATTGAATCTGTTATCTTATAGATCAAGGGCCACATAGATGCTTATTCCAGTTGGCTTTTTTTCAGCAGGAAAAAAAAAAAAAAGAAGAAGAAGAAAAAAAGAGAAAGAGTGGCATCACAAGACACAGAATGAAAAATGGAAGAGAGGACTATCCTTCATTCTCCACATAACCCATGCCTGCTTGCTTGCAGTCAGTACAGAATGCTTTTTTCTGGAGGTATTGGGTATCCCAGTCTCCAGGAGGTGAGACAAATACAACCTCGAATGCTAGAGACTCTTTTACAGTGTCTGTCCATCAGCCTTTGGTGTGTCTTTCCAATAATCTTTCACAGAATCACAGAATATTCAACGTTGGAAGGGACCTCTACAGATCATCTAGTCCAACCTTCCCGCTCAAGCAGGCACACCCAGAGCACGGGGCACAGGGCAGCATCCAGGCGGGTTTGGAAGACCTCCAGAGAAGGAGACTCCACAACCTCCCTGGGCAGCCTGTTCCACTGCTTTGTCACCCTCACTGTCAAGAAGTTCCTCCTCACCTGGAGATGGAACTGCCTGTGTTTCAGCTTATGGCCCTTGTCCTATCTCTGGCCACCAATGAGAAGAGCTTGTCCCCTTCTTCCCTGCATTCTCCCTTCATAAACTTATACATGTTAATCATAACATTTATCATCATGTTTTCAACCTGTCACCTACCACCTTGACTGAAAAGTGCAATCATCAAAGCCGCCAGCAGCATCTCTGCTGACCATTGCATGATCATCCATCCTAATACCTTCATCCATTCAAGGATTTACAGTTTACTTTGAATTACAGTGCAGCAGTTCTGACAGCTATAAAGAGCTCTGTCTGACTAGAGTGTACTTAGCAACAAGGAAAATAACAATGCCTTTTTATTTATATATTATTATTTAGATATATATTTAGATATTTCTATGGCATTTGTCACCATGATGGAAATCCTTGCTTGACTGTTTACAAAAGCTTAGACCTGACCATCAGTCTCCAAGACGGATCACATTACCACCAGTTCAGTTGAAAGGCCTATGTTGTAGAAAACTGTTCAGGTGAAAAGATATGTTCCAGGTTGAATGTGATCCCCAAATCACACCATATCCTTGAAATTCAAATCTGATGTTTTGCACTTGAGCCAATACATGCTATACTGTAGTGTATGCTCTGAAACTATGTTGGCAAGAGCAGTTTTGCACCTCAGGGCATTTCTGAGAGGGAAGGACAGCAAGAATCAGAACCAGAAATATTGCTTTCCAGCTCACTAAATACTTCCCTGTGCTCTCCCAGCTCCCGGAAGATAAGCTTGCAAAACCTATTCCATTGCCTAAACCTCTTATCAGTACGATCCCTCCTCAGGATAACCAGCGCAATGGTTTGGTAATATACACAAACACCCACAAGATTATACTGAGACTACACTTCTTCTGATCTGGATTATAAAATCAGCCAACTGACCTTTGCTGAAGAAATACTTGGAGGAGAACTGTCATACTTTGGAAAGATCTGAAACAGGCATTCCTCATGGTAAGCTTAAGTAGCCTACTACATCACATTTGACTTTTTCCCCCAAGTTAAAAAAAAAAAAAAAAAAAAAAAAAAAAAAAACCCAAGCCCTCAGTTGGAAAGTAACACTTGGCATTTAAAGGGAGTGAGTAGCCTTCTGGTTTTCTAACAGTCAGATTCATGTAGGCAACAGGATTGGGTTTTTTCCTACCCTGAACTCTCTACTGAGAACATAGCTGTTACTGTAATGACTCAGAGCCTCAAAAAAAGGGAAAAAAAAAGTCTGCTGCTGCTGCTGACAAACACTAATATTAACCTGAAAGAAAGTGGGAGAGAGAATGTAATGTGTGACTGAAGAAGTGTAGGCAAGGTGATTATTAGAGAGTTGTTTCCTGAGGGACACAATCAGAATAAAGGAAGAACATAAAAGTTTAAGCCCCTAATCTATGAAGAAGGTGCTTAGGTGTTTTTTGTTTTTTTTTTTAATTATAATTCTCAGTCTTCTGCTTAGATGCATTAGAAAGAAAGGATTGCTAACAAAACCAGGACAAAAAAGTGTTCTCTATTTCTTATTTGCAAAGCAAGACAAATATTACAGTACACAGAGTATAAAATAAAACACAAATATTGAAATGAATATTACATGTGCTTTAGTGATAAAAAATACTAACACTGATGTTTTCAGAAGGTTCTACAAGCTTTGTATAACTCCATCTTGGCTCCCGAGCTGACACCAATTATGAATTTTAGGAGTTATCTATAAGAACTGAAACTTGGCGTGTGTGTGCACATGTGAGTGCATGTCTATTTTTAAGTGTTTCTGCCATGAAAACAAAACAAAAAAAAATCAATAACCAAAAAGCCTAAAGAGAACATAAGAGTAATTCTAGTTATTGCAGTCAGCAGAAAGTTTGCTCTGGATTTTTATCCAGCATCAAGGGCACATCC